GAGCCTAAGGACGAAGCGAAGTGCCTCCCGTCCGAGTCGGTTCTCCCGCCTCGCTCCCTTGCGGTCCGGGGCTAGGATCCGACAACGAGGGTAGACAAGTACCCCGTTACGTTCACCCTCTCAGGTTCCATGCGTGCGGAACCTCGGACGTAACAGGACTTGAAAAATTGGGGGCTCGTCCGGGATGAAAAAGTGCAATCTTGTGAAGCGGAATGAATACGAGAAATTTGGGTGATAAATCAAAAGTAGAGAATCTCTACAAGACCGCGATTGGAAATTTGAGCAAAATAAATTCAAGTACACTAAATACACTACCAACCTCTACTCCTATCAAACCCTCCGGATCCAAATCCGAAACCACAGACCTTTATTTCGCTGAATCGGAAATTTTTAACCCTTCCGAAACTCTTATACCCAGCGACTCCGCCGACGCAGACGACATAACTAGTCAACCGGTGTGCGATTTCAGTGATATTACGTCCAGGCGTCAAACAGTTGTAGCCATCCCTAAATCAAGGGGCCCTGACGGAACAATGACGCACCACAACCCGTTAGCTACGCTAAAATACGCCGTCGAAGCCGTACCGTTTTTCGATGGCCAGAATATTCCTATAACATATTTTATAGAAGGATGCGAAGAGGCAAAATCTATGTTGCCTCCAGAAGCCGAATCGCAATTCACGAAAATTATAAGAACTCGAATAATCGGTGAAGCGCGTCGTACTATACAAGATCAAAATTTCGACACCGTGAGTCAATTAACCAATTTCTTAAAACAAATTTACGGTCTCTCGAAAAACGTATATCAATTACAAGGAGAATTAGGGTGCATTTATCAAAAAAACGGAGAAGATGTAGTTACCTACGCGAATCGAGTAAAATCCTTGGGCAAACAGATATTAGAAGCACACCGAAATACGGGAACGGGTTTTTCCGATCAAAATATTAAAGCGTCCTTAGAGAAGGACATGTGCAAATGCTTCATTCGAGGACTGAAACCAGAAATCGAACAAAGAATAGCGAGAAATTTAGGCGTACAGGATACGGTAGCCGACGCGTTAAGAATAGAAAGAGAACTGCAACAGATGA